CTTCGCAACTCCATTCGGTGATGCTAGACCCAAAGCAAATGTTATCTAGGTAATTTGAACACCCTTGAACACTTTTTTGAACACGTTTGTACATTGTACGTGTTGGAACACTAAAAAAAAAAAACTTAATGTAGAGAAACCTCATTTCTGACTTCAGATTTGTCATCAGCTGGTTCGTTTCATACGGAAAAGACGTGTCTGACAAGTGTCTTTGAAAAGACTACATTTTGTTCAACTTAGTGTTCCATTCAGCGTTCGGAACAGGGTTGTCCACGCTACGCCACTGTCCGTGCAAGGCCACCTGGGGTTGAGGTATCAGAAGTATACAGATAAAAAAAAACATGTTTACGGCGGTTTAACTCACTACAAAATGTACAAACGTGTTCAAAAAAGTGTTCAAGGGTGTTCAAATTACCTAGATAACATTTGCTTTGGGTCTAGCATCACCGAATGGAGTTGCGAAGTTGCTGCGCGCCACGTATTGGCTTAATAAGGGTCAGAGCCACCGCTATTTATCCCATTCTGTTCAGGTTGTACGAATTGAATAGTACAGTTTGAACGGTTCAAAATTTTCCAAAAGGCTTCGGACAAAATTTGTTTCTTATATCTTTAAGAACTCCTGAGCAAATTTTGGCGCTCCTTTGACAAAATGCGCATGTCTGACGCAGACAGCGGCCACCACGGCCGACAGCCTGGCCCGTCCCGCAGGGACGCGGGGCCGGCCCGCGCACACTAACAAGTAATCGCCATTTTAAGGCATTTCCCACGAAAAAAGTTGCTTTTTTTTGTTTGAGCGTGTTCCTCATGCTTTTGACTACGGGAAACAATAGTCGACACGTGAAATTTCATCGGTGAACAGGGTGGTTAGGTCGCTTGAACAAGTTGTACACTCCGCGACCTAACTTTCACCTTTCACCCTTTTTCCCGGGCGTTGCGAGTAACATTCTGAGGTGTTCTATAGCTCAAAATGACCGCGTACTCGTAGGGAACACAATGCAAAAGACGGAACTCAAAAATTCGGTCTGGAAGTTGGTCAAAACGGCAGAGAAATAGCAAAAAGCGGCGAAAACGCGGGGACTGTGTGGTGGGTTGCCTACCCGGACCTCCCCTAAGGCGCAATGGTAATTTTGATGGCCTATAAAATCTTCCCTAAGGGAAATTTTCGATGCCTCTTCGGGTCAAATCCTTTCTTTAGTCCATAAGTACCCCCCTGCCAAGTGGCATTGCTTGACACAAAAATGCAGTATCCCCCCGGATTCAGAGATGTAGACCACGCACTAAAAGGAAGAGCGTACTGTGAGAAGAGAAGAAAATTTATTGATTTACTCGTATCAACAGACTTCTGTAATCCCAAGGAAGAAACCAAACTGTAAGTGGCTTGTGTATTTATTTGACAGATTGGTTGCAAATCACTGACCTTATCGAGTGACACTAACTGATACATCATCCTGTCCACAGGGAGATAGCTATGAATTCTGGAGGTGTTGATGAGGTCCTTGATGAACTGTACAGACAACTTGCTGACAAAGATAATGAAATTTGGTATGGTCCTGGCGTCTCTCTGCCAACAGGGACGAGTTTTCAAATCAGTAAGGACCTCAACTTAAGTAGAATAAATTCGCCCCATTTAGACAATCTTGTAAATATGTAAGTGCTATATACATACACTTATTCACTTTCTTGAAGAGCGTGAGAATCCTATGTCAGTGTTTCCTCTTCTTACCTTATTTCAGGAAAAATGTTGAACAAACTAGATTTGAAGGCATAAACTCCCCAACTATATATATAGGCACGCAAAGCAGCACCTTTGGTCTGCATATTGAAGATTTTGCCTTTGAATCAATCAATAGATCATTGGGAGCAGCAGAAAAACTTTGGTTTGTGCTAAATTGTGTCTGTTGCAATAACAATCTGGGCTTTTAATCTTGTCTAAGTGTCCTGTTAATAATTGTGCATTTCATAATATTTCAGGTTCGTAGTACCACCAGCGTATTATGGTTCTTTCTGCTTATGGATGTCAAAGTGTGGGGTACCTCCAGAAGTGTCAAATTGTCCCAGCTTCCTTCAGCACAGACAAAATTTCATCGACCCTCGGACAGCTGTGAAGGCAGGCTTCCCAGTTCGAACTGTGCGTTATAAACATTTGTTGTGTTAGCTCTGACAAACACATGAGACAAGATTTCACAATTGACTTGTAATTTTTGTAGGTAAGACAGCGAGTTGGTGACGTGGTTTATCTCCTTCCATTTGCAATTCATTGGGGAGTCAACCTTGGTAAGTGTAAAACTGCACCAGTTTCGGATTTTAATTCAGTATTATTGTCTTTCTCCTCTTGTTATAATTGTCTTTCTTTCAGGTTTTACGTTGAATGAGGCTGTTAAGTCGTGTTCCAAGTCGTGGCTCCATTCAGGGTTGCTTTCCAAGCCAATGTGCCAATGCCGTTCGTTAGTTCGCCTGCATATATATGTAGATATGTGTAGATATGTAAAATACCAATGTCACACTGAAATATGTGATGTCCTTCCATTTCAGATTGCAGAGCAATATGCAACACGTGCAACTTGACAAGGCGTGTTGGTTTCTACTGGGGCAACACAGGAGATGTTACAAAAGTGGAAACATGGCCAGCACCTGGGAGTTATGGCCACACTTGACTTGAGAAATCCTTATAGTGCTCAGCCAGGAGCCTGTCCAACTGACATTTCTTTGCTTCTTGGAACTGGTCATGAAAATTACGTTCTGGTAATGCTCATTAATGGCTACTTACTTTATAACAACTTTTATAAGCCATATTTTTTATCCTTCTCTCTGATTTCTTCCTTGTAGGATTGTAAGGAGGTTACCTCCACCATGGGCCCATTTGCAGGCCACAAGAGAGGCCAATACATTGGTGGCATAGTGTGTTTTGATGATGACGATGAATCAGATGAAGGTGATGTAAGTCAAGGTCCCATTAGGACAAGGTTCAAGAGTTTGTGTTCCTCTAATAGTCTTGCTTTTGTTTCAGATATGTGATGCTGCTGATGAGGACTAGGACCATCAAAGTGCCCTGATCAGTGGCAAACTTGATTACCAGTGCCCTTTCCCCTGCCGCTGCCCTTGCCCCTGCACCTGCCCATGTTGGTATCAGGCCAAAAGCCAAGGGACAGCTGGCATCACAGCACTTAAAAACCACGCAAAAAATGAACATGCTGAATACCCAAGATATGAATCAATTTTAGAAGAGTCAATTGATAAAAAATATTTGAAGGAACATAGAAATTTTAAATCAAAGCGGTACTCTACATGCCATTGTGCGAAGAGGGTGATGGAAAAGGGTGATACTCACGCAAATCTGAAGCGTCACCAAGGATCATCCAATTGCAAAAAACAAAAGAAAAAATAAGAGTTTATTATTATTATTGTTATTGTTATTAGTTTATTTATTGATGTAGCTTTCTACAGAAACTGTTCTTTTCCCCAATCAGATCTAATTTTTTTCAGGACATTAATGTCCTTGATTGCGTGAGGCAGCTTGTTAATTAAAACACTGCCTACATATTCTGGTTTATTTTTGCAAAAATCTCCTTTATACAGATTCTCAGGGATGTCCACCTTCTTTCTGGTTTATCTGTTAATATCAAAAGAAATTTATAGTGTTGCAATTCTGGTGTACCAACAACAATTACTGGAGATTCTAATTTAGATGTTATGAAAGACAAGTACGCAAAGTAGATAAAAAGAAATGCTGCTCAACTTTGATATGGAACTATACTCTTTAAGAATGCCATAAGATCTTCTGGTTGTTGTAGGGCTTTATTGCTCAAGGAACATATCCGGGAAGATGGCTATAATTATGTTCTTTGTTTCCTTCCACAGGCCCTCTCCCGCCCCTCATTTGAGTCGAGTGAGTGAGTGAGTATACCGCAAAAAGAGATCGAGAGAGAGGGGGGGGAGGATGGAGAGGGAGAGGAGGGATTCTGAGAGGAGCCGGCCGGTGCACCGGCCATCATGTCCACCCGATGCCCTCCTCCCCCTCACGGCCGGGGACGCGCGCGCTGACCCTTGACTAATCCGGGCCTGAACTATACTGCCCCTGGCCTGCACTCCATTTTGGACGCGGGGGGCGGTGCCTCGGGGAGGGCGATGGCCTGTGAAATGGAGCAGCGGGGTTTGTTAGCATACCGTGCGCATTGGCCGAGGCGCGGCGGCCGCGACCCCCCCGGTGGCGTAGCCAAGCCAGGCGGCCGAGCAGCACAACCCACCATACCGGGCCGGTCGGTGAGGGGGAATGCAGCAGCGCAGAGTGGTCGGGCTCATCATCCACACGGGCCCGGGGACCATGCTAATGGAAGCCCGTCGATTGCACAGCAGCAGTACCCGCCGCGGCCTCGGCCCCGGGCCCCGCAGCCGTCGCGCGGTTAGGCACCCCAATCACCAGCACGCTCCCCAGCGGGTAGTTTGTCAGACCCAGCCGGCCCCGCGCGACGCCGCCGGGGAGCGCCCGGGAGGCAGGCCAGCACGGCGACACGCGTGCATCGCGCGGCCTACCTCCCGGGCGCGCTGCACTTGCACGCCACCTGGCAGCCGCGTATGTGTGTGTCTGGGGGCGGAGAGGAGGGGTATAAGACCGGGCCCGCATGTCGCCCAGCTCCCCCCCCCCCTTTCCAACCCCCTGCTCGCGCTGCTCCTCTGCAAACAGCAATCAGCTCGCCTGCACTCCAAGCTGCTGCTGCTGCTGCTCCCTTCCTCCTCCCGCCCCACTCCCTCCCTTCCCGCGTGGACACACACACTCACACAGCATGGCGGAAAGCCGTGTTTTGAGCCTCTGCACGGCGGCGGTGCTGTTGGGCCCTCCGGGTCCCGGAGAGGAAGGGCTGCTTCCAGGTGGACTGACCCTCGCTCGCTGCCCTCTGCGCTTGCCGGCCGGTCCCTACATCGTGTGTATCGAGTAAAGAGCGTTGTCCCGTACCCCTCGCAGTAAGTGCCCCCCCCCCC